ACTGGGGATGTGCCCGCAACCCAGGTACATGCCCTTGACCGGAATCGAACCTGGGACCCTTCAGTCCGCAGGCCGATGCTCTATCCACTGAGCCAAACCGGTTTCAGCAACACTTAGACTTTTGTCAGTCTAGCTTTCCAGGTGGGCATAAAAGAGAAAACAATACATACTCAATAGGAATCAGCACTGTGCCATGAAATTTGATTTCACCTATTCATGTGTATATATAGTAGATAAGAACAAAAATGTATTTATTAATGGCCCTAAAAAATTAGAAACCACTACCCTCAATCCCATAAAGATATAGCCTGTTCAACTCCACATCGTTGAGGATGATGGGTTTGTCTCAAACTGTGTGGAAAGACTGGAATCCTTCCTCTCTCTCTATCAAACACCAAAGTGTATTTTGGGTTTCATCCCCTCTTGACTCCATGATAATTTCTCTTTTCTGTTATGCCCTTTCTCACCTATATCTTCAAGCTCATGTAGTTTTTCCACCTTCATCCTGTTAATGTGGTGTATTACATAGACCTATTTTCATATGTTGAATTATCCTTGCATTCCAGGAATAAATCCCACTTGTTTGTTATATACAACACTTTCAGTATACTGCTGAATTCAGTCTGCTAGTATTTTGTTGAGAATGACATCAACATTTTTGAAGAATATGATTTAATTTTTTTAAAAAATAGAAAATTGCCCGGCTGGCATGGCTCAGTGGTTGAGCATTGACCTATGAACCAGGAGGTCACGGTTCGATTCCCAGTCAGGGCACATGCCCAGGTTGTAGGCTGGAGCCCCTGTGTGGGGTGTGTGAGAGGCAGCCAATCAGTGATTCTCTGTCATCATTGATGTTTCTATCTCTCTCTCCTCCCTTCCTCTCTGCAATCAGTAAAATATATGTTTTAAAAAATAGAAAATTATTTTGGGTCTTTGTTGTTGTTTTATTTTATTTCATTTCTTAGCTTTTATTTTCTTTAAGGCCTTATCTGTTATATCTTATATTCATTTGGGGTTTTTTTAGCTGTCTCATTTCTGAAATGTTTTTCTTTTATCTATAATTTTTTCCTGAGAATATATCACCTAACTTCTGAATTTTCCTAATTCTGATTAGCATGCTCTCATATTTTATATCATTTTTATGTATTTTAACTTTCAGCTTATAATGTTAACCTATATTATGGTAATTTCTCTCTGGTGGTCATTCCTGATCTGTAGGGATGTTATGCTGCTTAATCTGTTTTTAATATCAACATTGAGATCTGATCCTTTGTTTTATTCATTTATACTTAAAATTAATTGCTTAACTTTCAGAATTATTTGTGGCTCGAAATAGTTCTTCTAGCTTTACAGCTCTGGAGTTCTCTGTTTAATTATATTTGTGTAGGGTTCAAAAAAGTTGGTGGCTTATTTTCTGGAGATATGTCCTTCTGTACCTGCTGTTTCCCTTGACTCTGCTGTTCCTGTGCTGCTTAATTGGATTCTCCTTGCAACAGTTTCTCGGCATTGTGGGCCTTTGTCCTAGAAGTGAGATTTGACTAGTCATTGTGGGAATTCATGGGGCCCAGATTTCTCTGGCCCTTCAGACTTGACTGCAAACTCTTTGTACTCATTCATTATTAGAAAAATGTAAAACTCAGTTTCTGCTGAAACAGTTTCCTGTGGACACTTCTTGGCTCTGTTCGAGTTCTCAGGTCTCATGCCCTCTACAGACAATCTCTCCAGCTCTGTAATCTGCCCTCTCAGTTATCATTTCCCTCTTCAGAAAGAAGAAAGAAGAGAACATTTCCATTTTTTAAAACAGACTCATAATTGCTAAATACTATTTTTAACATACTCTTAATGGGAGGAGGGCCGACTAAAAATTACTTTCTGCTCCAAGAGTTCATCCCCCTTTGTCCATATTCAAAGTCCTATATAATATTTTTTAAAGTCATGAAAAAAGTAATAGGGCTTCCTTCTTCTGGCATATATTTAGTTTTTGTTTGTTTGTTTTACGGGACATCCGTTTTCTTGGGTTTTATGTTGCCCTCATTAAAATAACTTCATTATCTATTTAGCTGAAGGTAACAAATCATTTTGAAGGAAACCTAGGGAAATTGAAGACTTTTTAAAATTAAGATGTTGCCTGGAAAACTCATGAGGAAAATCTAACATACAGACTTTTAAAATTTATTGATTGATTTTTAGAGAGAGATGGGAAGGTGGGGGAGAGAAGAAACATCGACTTGTTGTTCCACTTATTTATGCATTCATTGGTTGCTTTTTGTATGTGCCCTGACTAGGGATCAAACCCACAACTGATACCTGGTCATGGCTCTAAGATATAGACTGTTTAAGATCTCAGTCAAATCCCAGAAATGATGAAGTTTGACCTACGAAGAAAAAAAGGTCTGAGTATTCTACTGTTTCTGAGATCTGATGGATGTGTTTTGGAAAAATAGTTGTATGCTTGCTGGTGCATTTGAGAATGAACACTTGATAGATGCTGCCAACTACCAGAGAGGTCCTGAGGGAGAAAATGTTCAGGAACTCACTCATTGAGATTTAGGAACAGTGAATATTTCACTCTGAGACTCAGTGGGGGACTGGATAATAATAATAGAATTCACCAGCTGCATGACCTCTCGTGGAATAGTCTCAATCTTTAGAGAGGAATGTGGCACCAAATCTGTCCTGTTCTTATCAAGTTTTTAAAATCTCTAGAAAGATGTTTTTCAGCCTGTATGGGAATTTTTCTGTTTACA